CTATGAAGTGCCTTCTAAAGAGGATTCTTAGACACCCTTTAGGGCTGTGCTTGTGGTCATCATCACTTATATCTATGTTAGCCCATTCTGACATTCCTTTTCACACATGCATACTACAGTCTTGGCCTTTGCTTCCAAAACCTTCGAGGACCAAGACACAATATAAGATCAAAATTGGAGACAAAATTAATATTTATACTCACAGACTTGAGCAAAAAGCTCTCAAACCAATGGGTAAATGCCATCCTTGCAACTGTGGAATATCCCAATTAATATTGCTTCCCGGTATTCTGTGTACGCACTGGACAGTTCCATAGCTGAAACATGGGCCTGTGCTCTTTGGGTAATTGTGGTGTTACAGTTCCATAGCTGAAACATGGGCCTGTAGCAGCTCTTTGGGTAATTGTGATGCTTCTGGGATTTCCTAGAGCATATCAGCTTTGTTGCAGGCTATTTCAAGAATCCAGTCCTACGTTTTCCCTCAGGATGTTGCTTTCCATGTAGTGAGGGAATGGGGGAGATTTTCATGAGGCCTCCCACTCCAGCTGTAGGCTGTGATCATACACACTAAATAATCCACTTTCAATGCCCTTTCCAGCTGGATGTTACTGTGTGAACTGGAAAATCCAATTTGAAAGTGGATTATTTAGTGCGTGTGATTGCAGCTGTAGAGTAGTTGATGTCTCCAATTTGGTTCAATTGCTCAATTCCTTTTTTAACTCCTTGCAGCATATACGGTGCAGTATCAGGTTTTTTTTACTTTAGTATTGCACCACGATCTAGAAGTCAGTAGTGGGACTATGAAAATGGAAGTGTCCATCTACTGGTATCTCCTGTGCCTCACAACAGTTACATCTTTTGCCTGAAGTTTACAAAATAGTGAAGACACAACCAAGAGAGAGCCCTGTCAGCTCTGATGCAGTGGCTGAAAAGTCAGCATAAACTGCATGAAGATCCATCTGCTCTGTGTAAGTGCCACCCAATTTTTCAGTTACCAGAACCATCAATACTAAATACCTCAGTTGTGAATCAGCAGCAGACGTAAGCCACTGACGTAGAAGCATGAGACCCAGTCACTGTTGTAACAGAGTAAGAACAAAATCAGAAACATCAGCCTAAAGTAGGCAAACGGAGAGCCACTCCTCCACCCTCAGGCCTGTCCTTTGGAGTGCTATGTTTCCCTATCTGTTTTGGCAGGCCCAATCCCATTACCACCAGAACCAATTATAATAGGCAATTTAGGCTGCGGTCACACGGAACATTAGCCACGCTACAGAGACGGAAGATAGGCGGATTTTCCAGGCGCGATCACACCACCACATCTGGGAAGCGTAGAGCTCCCGTGCCGAACCCGAGGCTTCCCGCCGAAGATGCGGGGTAAAAAACTAGTTTCT